TCCCATTTTAGACCTCTCTGGAGCCCAGAGCTGTGTACTCTGCACACTTAACCAGTTCTTCCTGAAACAAATGAGACGGTTAGGATCACTCTGAATACCAAAGATACACTAATCTGTTTACACCACCCACTCCCAGCTCTTCTCTTTAGTGCTGTAAATATTGGGTTTTCTGTTTTGGGGGGATTATGAGACTTATCTAATGAAAGAACAACTAAAGCAAGATGCTAAACCTGTTGGAGCTGGAACTGAAGCCCCCGGCTTGCTTAGCCCTGCACACTATCACATACATCATCCTATACCTCTCTAGTTCCTTTCAGGCCTAACACTTATTTCAACTAATAACTTTAATATCAGTAGATTGATTTAGCCACTCGAGTCATTTAAGCCAAAAGCTACCGCATTTGAGCTCCAAATATGAGATGTTTTTAGGCCTGAGGTCTCTCTTTCAAAGTTAGAGCAAGAAGGATGGGGTACTTTGTGACAATTCTAAACCATATTGCTTTACCTAAGATTAGGAAACTGAGTAAAATTAAATAATAGAAGGAAGAAGCTGGTGGCTGAAGCACAAGCTATTAAAATAATCTGTAATTAAATGAAAGTTTTATTTCATAGCAATATTGCCTTTTTAGAATGCATTTGTCTTTTTTTCCTGTCCCATACTTTATGCACTTTTACTAATGTCACAGCAATGGAGGCCTTACCTTTTCAAATAGGAGAATTCCCTTTCACACCAGAGTGGCTGTGAAGCCCTCCCTTGAATCTATGAATGTGATTGTAAGTTTATTAGTGGCCATTGAATACGGAACACAAAAAAGCTACTCTGAATTTAGTTACCCTTGTACTTAACAGCATACTTTATCATAACAACATCTACATACACTAAAAATTAGCAGTGCATTATCGACAAAGACAGTATTTACTGAGTCTAAAAACAATGCCTGATGCACCTGTAGATTCATGGACCACTGGGGTTGTCTGTGAACCACGGGTTAGGAATGACTGATGCAGAAGGACCAATGCTGTGCTGCAGTTTCTATGAGATGAAGCATTTCCTTCACTATCTCTGAATTTTAGGAAGCAATTAATTCTGTCCTTGACAAGAAAAAAAAAAAGTTAGTCTATCTTAATCTGATAAATACCCTGGGGCATTAGAACTGTTTCCTAATTACACAGTAATTTATAGCAAATCTCCAGCAAGACTCTGAGCGGTAGAACGGCTGCTAATTTTGACAGCCATGGTGAAAATCTCCCATCACAAGAATAAAAATGGTATTGAATTAAAAAAGAACTAAATTATGAATACATCTGTCTGCAAGATGATTAATAATACCTTTAATATATGGAAGGGCATGATTTTAAAAGAGGCCTACATAGAACCCCTGGATAGTGAGGAAAACAGTCCATGCAGTCCATGTGAGCAAGTGAAGTAAGTGGGGTCACCTTAGGGCTTCCCAGGGATACAAGCATGTCTTTTTTGCTAGTATATGTGAAGACTTAGGCAATGTTTTGTTGAGGTATCTAAGCCTGTTGGTTGAAATAGGCGCAGACTAGCTATCAAGGGAACTGTTGTTTTTCTTTTTTTTAAACACACACACACACAACTAAATGAAGATATAGGTAGCATTGGAGTTTGGTGATTTTCTTAATGAGCGTTGAAAGGTTGCCATCTGGGGAAAGAAAGTTTTTCCATTCCAATTGAAGATGATGCAAATCATTGGGGTTGGATAGTATAGTAAGACAGATTTAAGAACGATAAGTGGCAAATAGGAGTCCCTGGGTGGTACAGTTAACTCGCTCAACTGTTAACCAAAAGGTTAGTGGTTCAAGTCTACCAGAGGTACCTCGGAAGAAAGGCCTGGTGATCTACCTCAAAAAAATCAGCCACTGAAAATCCTATGGAGTACAATCCTACTTTGATGCATATGGGGTCACCATGAGATGGAATCTACTCAATAGCATCTGGGAAAAAGGGGCAAATAATAGGTTTTATGTTTTCTGGAAAAGGCATGCTGTTAGTGCTATCGAATTGGTTCTGACTCATAGCCACCCTACATACAACAGAACGAAACACTGCCCGGTCCTGTGCCATCTTCATGATCTTTGTCATGCTTGAGGCCATCGTTGCAGTCACTGTGTCAATCCACCTCCTTGAGGATCTTCCTCTTTTTGGCTGACCCTCTCCTTTACCAAGCATGATGTCCTTCTCCAGGGACTGGTCCCTCCTGATAGCATGTCCAAAGTATGTGAGACATAGTCTCGCCATCCATGCTTCTAAGGAGCATTCTGTTTGTACTTCTTCCAAGACAGATTTGTTCGTTCTTTTGGCAGTCTATGGTATATTCAATATTCTTCACCAACGCCATAATTCAAATGTATCGATTCTTCTTTGGTCTTCCTTATTCATTGCCCAGCTTTTGCATGCATACGAGGCTATCGGAAACACCATGGTTTGGATCAGGCTCACATTAGTCCTTAAAGTGACATCTTTGCTCTTTAACACATCCTGATTGCATGTTCAATCAATTTCAGACCGTAGAAGTTGGTAAAAATCTTCAATTTCTTCAACTTCGGCCTTAGTAGATGGTGTGTAAATTTGAATAATAGTTGTATTAACTGGTCTTCGTTGTAGGTGTATAGATATTATTCTATCACTGACAGTGTTGCACTTCAGGATAGATCTTGAAATGCTCTTTTTGACAATGAATGCAACACCATTCCTCTTCAATTTGTCATTCCCAGCATAGCAGACCACATGATTATCTGATTCGAAATGGCCAGTTACAGCTCACTAATGCCTAGGATATCAAAAAAGGCATATTGAATGCATAAAAAGAGAAACAGTGGAGTTACAGTAGTGAACGTAGGAATTCGAGAAAATGAAAGTGGGGGACGAGCTTACCTTGAGTTCTAAACTCAGAAGAGGAACTGTAGACTCTGGTCTTGCCTTTGGCTGGTTGGTTGATGGTCTGTTCTTGGTTGGGACCCCACCTACCTTTTCTTTAGTTTGTTCGACTTGGAAGAGTGTCAGCTATCCTAACACGATCAGTAATGGTAAGTCAATAATTTAGCAATTTACAAGCACTTATACAGTCTCAAAAACTATATTTAGCATATATTTTAGAAATACATCGTTAGTTTCAATATAGTAGTTTTAAGATGAGATTTTTCTTGGACAATTAAAAGTACAGCATAGATTATCAGATATATTGAGAAACTATTTTTAACCAAAATAATGAACCAAAATATTAGCTATTATATCTATTTTAGAGACCTTTATATTTAGAATTTTCTATAATTGATATTAGACTTTCTATACTAATTTGTACTTATTTGGCTCACTTCACTTTTCAGGATTTTAAAATATGAAATGTCAAAACATTACCCTAATCATAGATGTGAAACTCACATACAATTTTGGAAGTATTCATTCTTGCATTTTCAAAATGATTAAATAAACCATCCTGTTAACTATTGATCATTTCCTACATTTTTCCAAACGAAAGACTAGAATATAGAATAGTCTATCTCACACTTCCACCTAAGGAAAAAATACTCATTTTATTCTATTCTTTTAAATGTCACAAATGTGATATTAGTGTGCTACTGTCTCTGTTGTTTTCATGGGTGCAGAGAAAAAGCAATCCAACAAAAAAGAAGAAAAAAATACTTCCTGATTTAAGCATCAACACTGTTGTTATTAATAGTATATGGTAAGGTAACACCATCTGCTAAAAGTTATACAGAAAATAAGCTAAAAGTCCAAAAGCAGATCAAAGGGATTACAATATACAGAATAGAATTTGTGCTGTGTGCACACAGTACAGCTCATCTGTTCTTAAGAGAGAAATTCTATTTTGTTAGGTTTTTATTTTTATTTTTTGAGAGTTCTGTGAAGAGGACAGTTAGTAAGGCTGGGGGCTTTTAGTGCCCTAAGATTTTTCTTCAGCAAGGCACAATGAGGAAAAGTCCAGGGAGGGGGTCTTTGTCTCAGTACCCAGTGCTTTGCCTGAACCTTTATTTTGTGCCCATTTGCATCCAATTGTGCCAGAGGCCTAAAGCAGGATATTGGTATTTGTGTTTTGCTGAGCTTTTCCATTCTCTTTTCAAACACACCTAGTCAAATATTTCCAGTGTGAAAATCCCAAACTAGCTGCTGTGAATTGGAGTCTTTATGTAAATGATGATTCATCGTATGCATCGGGAATAATGTTCTAAAATAAAAGAAAATCAAAAAGTATGAAATACTAAAATAGAGCATGAGTCTGGGTTTTTCTGTTGCCTACTTTTTTCTCTTCCTTACAGGTGCCATGTGTATAATCATGCCACTCTTGTAATGGAGAAATTCTTGCATATCAAAATGGGCACCTGAGAAGATATATGTTTGTAACCCCACAGGACAATGAGAGTAGTTTTGTATGTGGGTTTTAAGTTGTTCCAGAAACTAAGAAGAAAGGGGACAGGAGCCATAGTCATTTTGTTACGTATGTGTAAAGTTCATACATACATGAAGATGCCTTTTTGTTTTCTTCATCCCTTTTGAAAGCTTTCAAAGACTTGCACTGAACGGCAATTTTATCATTGCCTTAAAATGTGTGTGTGTAATAACTTTGTGAAATCTTAGCTTTATATTGAAAATAGCTGCTCCTACAATAGATTGCCTTTTCTTCCCAACACTTTTTGGGATCAAAATTTCCTGTCTTGGCTTTGGGGTAGAATCACTGCAGCTTCAGAGGCAAGCTGTGGTTACTGCAGCTTTCA